ATCACTCTGGTAGAGGTTGATCTTGGTTTCATCTTTCCAAAGAATGTTTTTCCAGATCTCTGCTGGCTATTTTAGATGTTTATTACTCCAGTCCAGCCTTTCTATTCTTCAGGGTTATGAGTGGCTTGCACCTTGCAGCGAACACTCTGTATTTACTTTCATGCTGTCTTCTCTTTATGGTACACTGGATATCGATACGCTGACCTCCTGGAGAGTGCTGTTCACTTGCCTCAATGTTCTAAAGGGGTTTCTCTTCACCATGGAAATGATTCTGCGATCATCCACCACTGGTGTCTTCTGTGGACATCCAGATCCCTAAACAAAAGCTGAGGGTCTACACATTATGTCCATGTCCATTATAGAACTATAATTGAAACATCTTTCAGTAAACAGGTAAAAAAAAGAGCAAAACTTGTGTCAGTGTACAGATATGTATGGACATAACTGCATTTAGATAATGAAACCGAGATAAACTGAAAAGAAAAGCATGGAGGAGTGAAACAGCTCGTGGTCAGAGCGTACCATATCATCTGTGAACCACGTTGGTGAAAATGTTGCACCTTTGAACGGGTCAGTGGTGTTTATTAATGTCTGAAGTCTACAGGGTTGCACTCTCTGCTCAGATTCAAACAAACGCTGCAAAACTGATCCCACTGAGCTTCACAGTGCAAATGGATAATGGCCCGGAGCGAAATGCAAAAGCAACCCGAGAGAAATGAGATACTCTTCAATGGCCAAGTCAGTCACCTGATGCCAACTCAGTAGAGCAGAGGAATGCAGTTTATGGATGTGCATGGATTCTAGACTCCAGGTAGGCATTTATTGCAAAGGATTTTAATCCAAGTATTAAAAATAATTCTTAATTTAAAAATTATGTTAGTTTGTCCAGTTATTTTTGAGCCCATCAAAATGTGCTTGATGGCTGCACTCTGGTCAGCTAGAAAACAACTTCAAGGCAGAATTCATTGAGAAATGTCACCTTCATGGCCCGCATTACTTCATGGCAGTCGTACTCAGCAGGAGGAGTGACGAGCGCCACGAGCAGGTCCTCAAAGTTCCCGCTGGTGTCCCCTTTCAGGTCCTTCACTAATGTCTGTGAGTTAAACACAGCCCAGTGAGTTTTCAGACACTAGCACACATGATCCTGCAGCATTAAACCACACCCATGTAAATACCCACAGATCTCCACCCTGTAAGCTAAACAGAGACTTATCTGGCTAAACACATAAAGCATGACATTCACCTGTCATGTTAAAGATGAAAAAGGAACTATGTGTTTAACACAGAGGTACACATGCCATCAGGCAGACAGCATTCATGTTATTATAAGAATGCAGAAGCTGCCTGATGTTTGCATTTCCAAAAACAGTGAGGTCCAGTTTCTTTAACCCCTGCTGTTCTACAACTCTTTTCATTATCATTTATTTTTTTAATGAACATTGACATCGATGAACTATTTCTTAGCCTGTTCCTTCAGAATAAGATGCAGGTGCAGTCTTAATAAAGGAAACAGATTTGTTTTCGTACTCTGCTGGTGGCCTTTTCATAAGCTTTACAGATGAGCTGTCTCTGAGCGCTGCTTCTGGTGGTCAGAATCTCAATCACAATCTTCTCATTCGTGCCTGAGACATTACAAATGAAAAGCAAAGAGTCAGACTGATAAACACAATAAAAGCAACAAGGAACGCAGCGTGTTAACTGTGCTAGCAACCTTCAGGTTTAATCTAATAATCACCTCAATTTGTAAAGTTTACTTTATCAAAAATGTATTGATAGTACTTTCAAATGACGGAAACATGACTGTGTGCATTTGTACCAAGTCCTTCAATGGCCTTTTTCAGAGCTGCAGCATCCTTCTCTGCATCAAAGTTTGCTTTGGGCTTGATGGTTCCTCGCTCTCCACTCTGAAGAGCACAGATACATTCACCTGTCAGCATTTATTTTGCTCTTTTATGTAATTTCTGTAATCATAAGCCCTTCGGTGACACCTGACACGAGGGTAAAGGCTTAGTTTGACCTACTTTTGCTGAGAAAGAGGAAGGAGCATCCACGAGGCTTTCCAAGTCATCCTGCAGAGCACGTTAAATAAGTCAAACACTTACTGAAATAATAATAATGATGATAAAAAACACAGGACATGTCTTACCCATAAAGATCCCATGATGTCTGCAGATAATTTGTCTGCAAAACAGCAACAGCACATTCACTAACTGTCTTTATATGGCGTAGCGTTAAACATTGGCTTAAACGTGAACATTTTATGTACAATGAGCTTATGCACTATTCTGTAAAATTCACCTATTAATCCATCAGTCCCTGAAAATACAGGATATTGGAGTCTTTGTGGGGTGTTCTTATTTTCTCATGTTTGCTGCGATACCTCAGTAAAGCATATGATTGAAAAGCATTGCCCTGTTGTCACATCTGGGCTTGTCTATATGAATATCTGCTAAACAGAAAGCAAATAAACCCTTCAGCCTGTGATACTTCTTATTACTGGAGTCACACAGTTTACAGAGAAGCAGCTCCAGCAGGACACTGAGCAAACTGGTTAAGATAAAGACTGGAAATGTAGATAAACTGTAAGACTAATAAGGAGTTCAGGAGACAAGTCACCATCTCTAATCAACTCTAAATGAACAGTGTCTAATGTGCTGCAATGAAAGACGATAAATAAATGAGAAAAAGCTCACCTAGATTTCTCTCTGAACCAGAAATTTTACCTGCTGCACCTCCTGGTTACCTGCAAAAAACAACGAGCTACCTGAAAAGCAAACCGGCCACTCCCAATCTCTACAAGTGACTGCACAGTTTTACAGTCATTGGCCTACAGTCAGGTGATGCCTTCAGGGACTACTTGTACATTTCAGAGATCTGCAGCAGAAAGCCTTCTAAATAAACCAACAAACCATCTTTAATACTGAACCTAATAATTTGCCTAAATGATATCATGACTTTGCAAAGTAAAATGTAGAAAAAAATAGTTTCAGTCTTTATCTGTTTGGTCAGATTTTTTGGTCAATTTGAAAACTCCCACAGTGGGAACTAGTTTAACCTATCTCCACTGGAGTAACTGGTTTAGCAGCACTGGGATGTTTATTCATTAAACGTGGAGCATAAAAAATAACACAGTAAGAAAACTACAATCTTAAAAAGACAAAGGAGGAAGCAGCAGCTGGTTTAAAGGGATCGTTACATCATGGAGGTCTTTTTCTTCTTTTATACTTTTTCTGTTTGAGCTTTTTAAAATCTGCAAAAATAATAAATTACTATAAAAAACAATCAAACAAAATTGCACAATATCCTAGAAGCAGGAAGCAGGATAAGAAAGAAAGACAGCTGCAGAGTAGAGTACACGGTGAGATCTAACCCAGTGTCTTTGGTGAGTAGACGGGTGTTTGCCTCAGGTGTGCAGGTATGAAGTTATTTGGTGAAGTGTTTAAAAAAAATAAAGGATATATTTTCCTTTTCGATTTCAAACTCTTTTAAAGTCACTCAAGTAAATTTAATGACATTTCTACATGCTAAGACAAACCTGGCGAACATCAGTAAAACTCACTTCATCTTTATTGACTAAAAATATGTCACAGCAGGTAATTGCTGCCATCTCTGTCCTTATTTATCACAAACTTACTGTTCCAGTGGTGGGCGCTCATAATGATGTCAGTCACAAACACAAGTAAATCCCTATGAGCAGAAGCTTTGCCTTAAACACTCAGTTTGAATTTCTAACATGGTGATTGCAGGCAGACAGTGCTTTGAGCACATGCTGTTCAGACCTGTGGTTTATGAGGGCCAATGAGAAGAAACGTGGCTTAAAGCATGGTGGTCAAATATACAGAACGGAGCCCAGGACTGGCCTGACATAAAGGTTCAGCCCACTGGATCATTTTGGGAAATGTAAAAACTGCAAATCACACTTGTGTCTCTTTTACAGCAGCCTCACTTATGAAGAGGTTGTGCATGGCCTGAAACACTGCACCAGTAGTGCTGTCATGAAAAAGAAAATTCAGCTTCATTAAGTGGAAAATCTGGACCTCAACAGGTTCTAAAATTATTTAAATACAACCTCAGGTGAACAATATATAAATACACTGTGTCCTCAACCCCAGTGAAATGCTGTGATGGGACAGTGAGAGAGTTGTGCATAAATCAGGGCCTGCAAACATCAATGAGCTGAACCAATGTTGTACAGAAAAGTGAGCCAAGTTCCTCCACAATTATGTGAGAGACTCATAAAGTCACTCAGAAAACAACTACTTCAACTTACTGCTGCTAAAAGTGGTTCTCCAAGAATTTAAGCTTAATCTTTGTTAAGTATATAAGTTAATAGTATAGGCTCATGTGTTGTTGTTCATTTGAGTTTGTATTTATCTAATTATAAAGGAGGATTTTTACTTTCTTCTTTGTGACCATAAGTAAATTATAAACCACTAAACTGCAAAAAAGGGACGTTTTTCTTAATTATTTGTACTTCATTTAATACCAGATCCCATTACTTACAAAGTAAGTAAGTAATGGGACTCTTTTTTTGTGAATTCATGACCTGCTCCTAACTTTTTGCATTGATTTCTGAAAGTGTTGGCCGACAGAGGAACAGAACTCAAACACATTTTTACAGTTGCAATTATTTTCATCACCAGTTTTATAACAAACATGTTGTTAAACTCATTCATACTCAAACAACTGAAATACTTTGCAGTTTTTAGGTTTTAAAATGTTATTGAGGAATAGTTTATCTTAAAATCAAGTAGCTGTATGTGGCTCATAAAGTCAACTGCATTGGATCCCTGCCTTAAACAGAAAGGAGGTAAGATGGCTTGTTTCAGATAGAGGATGAACTGGCCTTAGTATAATGGATTATTATGAACTGTGAATCATGCTAAGCTACTCAAGCAGAGTCCAAGAACAAAATGTGGTTTAATCTTTAATCTTTTAATTTTATGGTTCATTAGCAGAATCTAATAGTAATAAATAAAAGTTAAATCAAAAACTTGCTGAGTTTCAGATTATTTTTTATTACTAAAAAAAGGCACCAAATACAGGCATCAGTATTGATAGCATTGTTGTCATTTTCCACAAAATGATAGCACCAAAAACATAATGTCATTCCCATAATTCCCCACTCCCGTGTAGTTTGATAGGCACACAGTGGGAAGATGACAGGAGGTGGGATCAGCGAGAAAGACGCATCACATGAGAACAAACGTGTTTTTCTTCAGCAGTGCACTCGAACCAGTGTCATACACTTAAAAAAATAATACAGGTACATCAGTAGCTGAGTGGTAACATAATACATCACAGGAGGGTAACATAAAAGTACATAAATGAATACAAATAATTATCTGAGCGATGTGAGAAAATGGATTCTGTGTCTTTGGGCAGAACAAAGGCAGGTAGACACGTATCTCCTATAAGTGATTATTTTCATTAGGACAACAGTAAGGCTGAAGCAGTCGATCGTGTGGACGGGATCAGTGAAAATCTACGTACACTGTCACAGAAAAAAACAAAAACTTTGGGTGATTTATTCTGAAATTCATGAGGAAAAATACTGCATGGCACTTAATATTGGCAGCTGTCAGAGCACAGTACAAACTCAAAAATTAAGAACTGGTGTTGAGCAACGTGACAGTACAAATGTCTCTAAGTAAGGCTTAAAAACAGGTTTATTTTTTAAATGCAAATCCTGCTAATGAAGGCAGAAATAACAAAAGAGATGGCATAATTGCACTTGAAAAGGTTGTCATTCATTTTTGTTATTTACACTCATTCATTCTCGGGCGATAGCAGCACACCGGACGTGCCAAACACTTTAACAGCAGCTGTAGCTCGTGTAGAGGTTTCTCTGAAGGACGTTTCTTTTTTGTGGAGCCAGAATTTTGATGTTTAATTCATCTGCAGAATCACTGAGCAACACTAGTAATACAAGAGGGGATCAGAAAGTTCCAGCTTTTAAGCCAAAAAACCCCAAAACATGAAAACATTGCTTTAAATTTGGCTGATGTCACATTAAAGGTCATCTTCTAGAGAAGCCCTGATTTGAACACGAATAAACTCGTTATCCTCAGGTATAGAATTCAAAAATCCCTCAGTGAAGCAGATAATTCAGAGACGGTAAACCTCTGCCATGAGATGGAAAACTGAGGCCCCCTCATGGAGCCAGGACAGGACGGGATGGCCTGGAGTCTTGACGATGGCTCCAAAAGCGAGTCAAACCCATCGACCTCCATGCAAAAATGCCCACCTTAACAGCATTAAAAGCACATTTTCAGCCTTGCTTCTATTGGTAGTTTACATTTATAATAAGATGCCAATTGTTTTGTGTGTTTTTGGATATTGGAATTAAGGGCGTGGCCACAATAACTGACAGGCGTCCTGACACAAGCCGCTCTCTTTGTGTCTTTGTGAAGCCTTTTGATGATCATCTGATGATGAAACAGATGATTTAACTCCTGATATGTGCGATGTGGTTCAGACCAGAGGAGAAGCTGAGGAGGTTTGGAGACTGCCTACCAACTATTGGAGGTTTACTGGGCACGCCCAAAACTAATTGGAGAGATCCAGCTCAGGAACGCCTCAAGACCAGCAGGAGGAAGTGGGAAGTGTTTCTGGAAAACCTGCTGCTGGTGACGAGAGCTGGGTTTTTATTACGTTCCTTTGCATTTAAAGAAAAACAGCTCTTCATGGCAGGAGCTGACTGTTTGAACTGTGTGTATGTGGAAAATGGTGAATGTATTCAACAATCAGGCACTCTTTTCCTCAACAACAGGGCTGCTAGCACTACTGCTAGTCATCACAAAGTTGTAGTCTTACTGTGAAGTTGGGGTAGTTGCATGAGCATCCGGGACTGCAGCACTGACAGTTTATGGTTTGGAACTTGGCAGAAGCACTTTTCTCATTGACTGTCTATTCTTTTTCCTGGTCGACCGGCAGACGGGTCATTGATATTTGACCTACAGTCAATGAATTCCAACAATTTTCCAACCATGGAATGCAGCAGCATTTCTAGAGAACACGGCAGAAATGCAGGCGCACGATGCCCACATCTACCCAAGGGTGGAGGATCCATCCATCAGGAAATACATGAACAGTACGTAGTGATGTAGCAGGAGCTCGGGGAGCAACTTTAAAATAAAGATTTGGCTATGCTCCAGAAGATGATCTTGAAAGGGAGACATTTAAAAGGCCTGTTCTAGGACTTTCTGATCCCATCGTTCATCTGAAGGAGGACTCCTACACTGGCTCCCCCTCCACAGCAGGGACATGAATAGCAGTGACGTGAATAAATGCAGCAGAAAGAGTTTTTTAATGTGGTTTTTTTTCTTACAAAAACAATCACCAGTGTCTGAGCTACGGTTCACCGTTTTGGTGCTAAAAAGGTTGCAAATGTCAAGTAACACAGTAATGAAATGAACATAGTTTGAGGTGAAGTTTGGCTGATCAGATGCAGATGTTTTGGCTGTTTCACACAGCTGTGTGTTTTATGGATTCCTGAGGTAGCCCAGTCGCCTGCGCGTCACACTCTTCCCTTTTTCAACGTGGTATAAAAATACATTAACCTCTCATTCCATTAAGTACAAACTTTCTTTTAGAAAATTCCTTTTTTTAAATTCCACTTTCACCTTTTCCTCGCCTTCCTCGTCACGCGTTTCAGACCTCAGTGCCGTCGTTGAGGTTGTTGTGGAGTTTGACCTCCAGGTTGACCTGTTTGACCTTGGCCTTGCTGTTGGCCTCCTGGTTGCGGTTCAGGACGTTGATGTTTCTCACCGTGCAGTGCTTGGTGCCGAAGTTCTTCTCCACACACTTGTCCATGCACACCTCCACTTTGGTGTTGAGCGGATACTCCTCGTAGATTTTTGGTTCCTTCTTCTTGCTCTTCTTCTTGGCAAACCGTCGGCAGCGGCGGAACAGGAAGCAGGAGGCCAGCAGGACCAGGACCAGCAGGGTGATGGCGGCCACACCTCCCCCCACGGAGCTGCCCACGTGGGCGTTAAAGGTGGGGGAGGGCCCGGCTTCCAGGTAGAGCGACTTCATGTTGGTGCCGTTCTTTATTTGATCTCCTTCGTTGTCGTAGATGAGCGACTCGTCAAGCGTCAGCCGGCCGCTGCGATCCACCAGGTCACGTTTAGAACGGCTGAGCTGATACGTCACAGAGCGCTGAATCCTGGGGTTGGACCGCGACTCGGGGCCGATCACATAAATTACCTGCAGGTACCACTGGTGCCCCGCCTCCACCTGTCAATCCCCAGAAAGAGAGGATCATGTTAGCGGCACAGTTTGTTGTAAAGTACATTCAGTGTTCACGAATTATTATGTAGAATATGCAGATCAATAAATCTGGACCCATCCAGCTGGTCTACGGCGCCCCAGAGGTGGGAAGTAACAAAGTATAAATACTTCATTACTGTACTCATTATTTTTTTACTGTACTTATTTTTAAGTATACTCATTTTTTGTTTTTCACAGGTTGCATGTAAACACTAGGCAGTTCAGTGCAGGCTACACTGTTTGCAGCACTGTGGTGAAACTTAGGGTAGTGAGTTATGTTGGATTGGTGCAGAGCAGCTGTGGCGTTCGTGGTCAGTGTTAAGTTACATCAAGGGTTCAGTTAGCTTTGCACAGAACAGCTGGTACAAATATCCTCCAAAGAGAAAAGTTTTACTTTTATACTTTGATTACATTTCAGAGACTGTGCTTTTTCACTTTTACTTGAGTAAAGAAGTTAAATCAGTACTTCAACTTTCACCAGAGTACTTTTAGCAGAACTATCTGTACTTTTACTTAAGTAAACTTATACTCTTATACACCATCTACACCAGTGACTGCACCCCTACGCACCCCTGCAACATCATCATCAAATTTGCAGACGACACCACTCTGATGGGGCTCATCACCAACGATGATGACACCGCCTACAGGGATGAGGTCCAGCGACTTTCAGAATGGTGTAACTACAATAACCTCACCTTAAACACCAAGAAAACCAAGGAAGTGGTCATGGACTTCCGCAAAGCAAGAACTGATCCCCCTCCCCTCTCCATAAAAGGTGACTATGTGGAGAGGGTGTCCTCCTTTAAGTTCCTCGGCACCCACATATCTGAGGACCTATCCTGGTCCACAAACCCATCAGCCCTAGTAAAGAAAGCCCAGCAGTGCCTCCATTTCTTGAGGGTTTTGAGATGGAACAGGCTGCAGACTGACCTCCTAGTGTCCTTCTACCGTGCCACTATCGAGAGTGTGCTGGTGCACGCCATCCCTGTGTGGTACGCTGGTTGCACAACAGCTGACAAGAAGAGACTACAGAGGGTCATCAGAACTGCAGAGAAGGTGATTGGCTGTCCACTCTCCTCCCTGGACTTAATTGCCAGCTCAAGATGTGTCTCCAGAGCCAGGGCAATTAGAAAGGACCACCTCCTTCCTAACCACCACCTCTTCAACATCCTGCCCTCTGGAAAAAGGCTCAGATCCATCAGGTGCAAAACCAACAGACTAAAGAACAGCTTCTTCCCGTGGGCTGTCAGAACTCTTAATGCAAACTAAGAGTGTGTAAAGACTTCCCCAACACCTCCACTCTGACACTGCTGTTGATCATCCATGTGCAAACATCTCAGTCTTTCCATGTTCTGTGCAATATTTTTGGCTCATGTGCAGTTATGTTGGTCCCAGTCTGTTTCAATGTTTCCTACACATACACCATGTATATAGTTTCACTCACATATATGTATACATATACACTGCTTTTTATTTTATTTATTTATTATATATTCTTTTCCCCCTTTGTTGTAGATTGGTTTCTCTTCTTCTTACTTTTGCACCTTTGTGGTCCAGCTACCCAATTTCGCTGTGCAAGAAACTGCACAATGACAATAAAAAGCTCTAAGTCTCTAAGTCTACTGCAGTTCCCACACCCACTCTTTTTGTGAATGTTGCGAGCCTCCATCTACACGTTGGTCAAGCTAAGCTATCTGAACAGTGGATAAGAATTCCTGTTCTGTCTGCGGGTCACCGTTTATGAATGAAAAAGCTTAAGGAACGCTAAACTGTCAGACTTCAGCATTTCAAAAATTTATATTTACCAGCTTTTGATATCAAACTTTCATCACTTGCCCACAGATTCTAAGTATTCTGTTACAATATAACTGATCTTTCATAGCCATATCACAAAGGTCTATCTGCCATACTTCTTGTTACTGATTTTATCAAAGTAACTATTTTAAGCATCTCCAAAAGTTCAAAGCTGCTGTGGCTCATTGAACAAGAAGTCTTTACTGTCTGGACTAAATCTTTATTACTTTCTTGTAATCAAACTTACATATTAACTTAACAGCATATTAACAGCTACTTCTCACATCAGATATATATACACATACACACAAACACACTATTGCTGTGCTAGACAGCGCTGTACCACATGTGCTGCTTCTGATTCCACACACCTTGTAGAGCGCATCAACCTTCATCGTGAAGCCGTCAACACCTGGCATGGCCGTCATGGACTGCAGCTCTGGGATGTCTGAGGCAAAGTGAGCCTCGAAAGGAACGTCGTGGAAAAATCTGTCACAGACATCGGGCTGTTTACGATCCTGCAGAGGAAACATGAAGAGAAGAAATGATAGCACATGTCCAGAAACACTGTAGTCTCTTTCTTCAAATCAGAAAACTTAAATAAATCTGTACCAGCAGCAGGAAGCGATGTTTGAGGTGTTTGTTGGGTTGAATGCAGCCGTACTGCGGCCCCTCGTTGTACAGAGTCCCCGTGGGGTCGAAGAAGGGAACATATCCGTCCCTGCCAGTGCACAGGTAAACCTTCTCCAGCTGCAGTTTGTAGGCTGCGTTCAGGTTTTGCTCAGGGTTCCACAAAACCCTGCCGTACAGAGTCTGACCTGCAGGGGGCAGCAGA